AACGGAATGTTCAATCTCTGTTCACTGGAATTGGGGGTTTCTTTAGTGTTCTTGGGACTGATTCTTGAAATCAAAGCACCAAGGAATTGTTAATTGCTTTTTCAAGGTTCTAGGGGCGCTTCAGGTTTAGATAGCCCCAAACCCTAAGCCCTAAAGCCCCAGACCCCACCCTAAAGCCTTAGACTCTACAGCCCTCAGCCTTAACTCCCAAGCCACATCCGAACCCTAAAGCCCTAAACCCTAATTCCCTGAAGCCCCAACCCTAAATCCCTAAACCCCACAGAAACCCTAAACCCTAAACCCTAAAGCTTTGAAGGGGCACTCAGTGCTCGGGGGAGTTGCTCCCCTGCAAGGGCTTCCGGTCGAAAGACCGGTGCACCCTAAAGTAGCCGCCGTCGGCGTCAGCCACTGGCGATTCATAAAAAGCAAAATTGAGCAGTCCCCGGCGGCTTAACATGGGCTCATTTCGCCCAGGCAGTGCGTCCTCACGCCACTGCAAAAGCCCTACCCGAGACGGCAGCTTCCTCTCATGCTCTTGGCGGGCCCGCTCCATCTCCGCCAAAGCTCGAGTGATTGCACTTCGCATCGCAGAAGCACGGGCGAGTAGACCGGGCTTTGATTCGCCATAGGGGTGATAGGGGGTCCATTGGAGGGAGACCTCGGTCCCGAATGTTTGTAGACCTTGGCAGTCTCAGCAGCAATCTCAGGCACCCGGCTGGATCCGGCCGCTGCAGCAGCGAGCTGTCCACGGCACTGTCGAAGCTCATCAGAGTCCAAAGGTGCTGTGAAAGACTCGCGAGCCCTGAGCCAACTTGTCGGGATGCGAGCTGCTCGGCCGAGCATTTGAGTGCCGAAGCACCCAAGGCCGTGGCCACCTTCCGAGCCAGCGGGACCGCATCGTTGGTGGTTTTGATGTATCTCATAATACGATTACGTAGCGGGCATCTTCCACCCCAAAAAATCGACAGCGAGTTTTTGAAGCTTGCGTTTATTTATGTTCATTCTGTTAATGGTGTGTAATGTTCGGTGATAGTGGTTTTAAGCTGTGAATGAAGTGAAACTTTTTATTTTCTTAATGTTATGGGATTCTAAGGGTGGGTGGGTGGGTGTTCTTTCTAAACCAGAAATACTACTTTACTGTAAAACTGCTCGATCCGGAGCTGCTGAACCCGAAACCCTAAACCTTAAATCCCGGAATCTAAAACTCTAAGGCCCTAAACCCTAAATCCCTAAACCGCAAAAAAGCCCCCAAAACACAACACCCCTAAACCCTAAACTTTAACTCGGGAGGCATCCATGCCGAGGACATGGGTGGCGACGGCGCAGAGCTTTCCCAGGTGAGCGCTTCAACCTCTGGGACTTGCGGGTTCTTTTACGATTTCCTTGGGCTCCTTTAAGGAATCCTTTAAGGGTTCCTTTAAGGGTTCCTTTAAGGGTTCCTTTAAGGGTTCCTTTAAGGGTTCCTTTAAGGGTTCCTTTAAGGGTTCCTTTAAGGGTTCCTTTGAGGGCTCAAGGGCTAGGGTTCCTTTAAGGGTTCCTTTAAAATGGATAATTTAGGGTTAGGGTTTAAGGCTTAAGCGTTTCAAGGGTCTAAGGGTTTATAGGGTATGTGGATGATTGGGATTTATTGTCTTGAGTTCAAACCCTAAACCCTAAACCCTAAGCCCTAAGCCCTAAGGTTTTGGTTGTAGGGTCCTGGGTGCGCCGTATTCTATTGGTGGTGTCTTGATGATGTTCTTGTACACATGTGATTTCGTCTACGTTTTCCATCTCCAACATCAGTGTCATACTGTTGATGGACAATATCCTGCATTACCCATTATTAGGAATATACCATAGTTCCCATAGTTTAGCGTCCTTAAGCTCATGCAGGATTTATATCATCAACCGCACTCTCAGCTTTCAGAAGTGCTGGATCTTGTTGGCCCTTTCGTTGTATCTTTAAACCCATGGCTGGGTTCAGGGTTGTTAGGGCGCAATGTCTTCGCTTTGGAGTTCGGGGGTTTGGGTACGGGGTTCTGTCAAGGGTTCGGCTTTTTTCTTAAGTTCAACCCTAAACCCTAAACCCTAAACCCCCTAAACCCCCTAAACCCGTAAACCCCTAAACCCTAAACCCCTAAACCCCTTAACCGTGGCTCATTTTTTCTTAAGTTCGGCTTTTTTTCTTGAGCCGGGGAGACCCCAGGCCCCAAACCCTATATGGGAGTTTCCGAAAATAGGGGGGGCACCTTATTTTAGGGTCCTTATAATAAGGGTCCTACTATTTGGGGTACTATATTAGGCCCCAAACCCTAAAGGGAACTCCAGAAAGTTGGAATATGGATTCATGGTAGGAATCCCCTATAATTTACCTTAAAGGGGTTACGATAATGATCTTCCAACTTTCTGGCTTCTACTGTATATTCTAAGTAAAGCCCTGGGTCCTAGACCCTAGTGAACACCTGAACCCTACTAAACTCTAAGCACCACCCTGGGCCTTAAACCCCAATGAACACCCAAGACCCTAAAACAAAGCCTTATTTAGTTGCCACAACAGGGGTCTACATTAATTGATACGGTTTCCTTATGCCTGGGCATCAAAATAGCCCAAAAGCTTTATATAGTATGGGCTTTGGGCCCAAAAGCCGTAATATATGAGTCCTTAGAGCCCTAGAGTATTTTGGCAGCTTACATATCCCAAACCCTAAACCCCCTATAGATCCCTTAAAGGAAGCCCTTAAAGGTACCCCTATAGATCCCTTTTAAGTAAATTAAATTCCTTAACAGAACCCAGTAACTGCCCGACGAGGACGGCATCCGAGACCTCTGCGAAGAGGAGAAGGCCCGACTGTGTCTTAGGGGGTTTGGGGTTTGGGCTTTAGGGTTTAGAGTTTGGGGTTTAGGGTTTAGAGTTTGGGGTTTAGGATTTGTAATATTGATGTCAACATCGTTATAGCGGCCTCCTTCTCACTAATAACGTTCGCTAGTCTGTTTTAGTGTAATTCATCATTGTCTAGTATACCCCAAGACCTTCTTTTAAATTTTAAATATTAGGAGACCACCAAAATGTAGATCCTACATGAGTAGGATCCTCATTGCAAGCCCGAGGCCCCGAACCCTAAACTGTAAACGTGAACACAAGGAGCCCTGAACTCTGAACCCTAAACCTTAACTCAAAGAACTCTGAACTCTGAACTCTAAAAACCTAAACCCCAAGGGTCCAAGTACCTAATAATCATGCACTCTCCGAAATCCGAACCTACATCACTACTATCCTAAAACCAAGTACCTTACGTATGATTGGGTCCTTCGGACCCTTGGGGTGAAGTCTGCGACCAGGAGCCACCCGAAGCAAACTCCCCGGAGTGAAAGCGTTTCTGGGCTGCCTTCCGGATTAGTAAACCTACCAAGACCTACTTGTTTGTAGGTCCTTATCAATTCCATATTAGGGTTTCTAATAAGGAGGTTTTGGTAGGTAGAAAAGTAGGTTTTGGTAGGTTAAGGTAGGTGACTGTACCTACTTTTTTGTAGGGTCCCTTTAAAACCTAAACCTTATCAAAACGAACCCTTAAGGCCCACCGCAGGTACCGCTTCCCCAGGCTGTAGTTCCCCGCTTCAACTGGTGAGGTGCAGGCAGGAGTTTGGGGGTTCGTTGAAGGGTTCCTTTAGGGGTCTAGGGTTCTTGTGAGTACTGTAAGTGCTTTCATGGCGATTCCATGTTCCGTATTGGGTTCCTAGACGGCTTTACAAGTATTCTATAATCCTGTAGTGGTTCATATGAGAGTTTTATAGGGATTTTATTTGTTTTTGGGTATTAAGGTCTCGGTGCTTTAGATTTTGAAGGATTCGGGCTTAAGGGTTCCAGCTTAATGGAAGTGTTTTGGTTGTGGCGAGGTCTCGCGCTTCGAGTTGGGGGCAGTTTGACTCGGGGTGAATCCTGAAATCTCAGCGTGCCAGGCTGCAGAGATCAGATTCTGTGTGGGTTTTGGGGTTTTAGGGTGAAGAAACTCTCACATCGACTCAGCCTGAAGTTTTCGACGATGCTCCATGTACCACACCGATGCCATGTGCATTTGCATGGTGAAAGTGCTTGCTGGTTGGTGTCCGTAGTGTCTTGTGAATTGCTTCTTCGTGTCCCTGAAGGCCAGAAGGACGGTTTATCACGGTTTAATCTACTCTAACATAGTCGACTATGGTTTAGTAGAATCTTACATAGCATGTTCCTTTATCCGGGCCTTGTGGTCGGTAAGGCCTGAGTCGGCTGCATCTCATGTCGGGCTTCCATAGTTTATGGTCTGGATCTCGTCAACTGGTTCAGGTTGGGTACTGCTGATGGACAAAATCCTGCATCACCCATTATAAGGAATATACCATAGTTCCCATAGTTTAGAGTCCTTAGGGTCATGCAGGATTTTGTCCATCAGCAGTATTACACCCACTCGGAAACGGCTATGTGGGTAGTGCCCTAAATCAGGAAACCCTAAACCCTAAACCCTAAACCCTAAACCCTAAACCCTAAACCCTAAACCCTAAAACCTAAACCCAGGGTAGATTGGGGCCCCTTTTCGGTTCCCAATACAGCGCGGCAACCTTTAAAAAGGACCTCCCAAAGGGACCTGGGCCCTGGGCCCTGTATGGTTATATAGTAGTTATAATATAGGTGTATATATATATATATATATGTATATATATATATACATATATATACACACACATATTTGTGTTTTTATATATGTATATATGTATATATGTATATATGTATATATGTATATAATGGTTATCATATAGCTATAGCATAGTTATGAGATATTTCAGTACAGTTATAATGCAGTTACAATACAATATATTATAGTTATATATAGCCCTTAATATGACCCTAATGTAGACTGTTACAGGGTGGGGGGGGTGGGGTATGCAAGGTTCAGGGCTTTGTGTCCGATGACCTCAGCATCGATTCTGAGACAGCACTTTGGCTGAGAGGACCCGCCCTTCCGTTGTACATCCAGAAGGTGTTTGAAGCCATGGGGCAGCAGCAGAGCTTACGTGCAGACTGGTCCAGTCAGTTTCGCTGGCGAGGAAAAGCTGTGACCCTTGACTTGAGCGGCTTGACAGTTTCTGCGACACTTGTGAGAAAACCATTGTGCTGAAACGTGGTCAGGCCTCGTTGTCGACGGATGTGAGTTTGCACTACTCTAGAACCTATTCGCATACGCTTACGTTCACGATCTCAGAAAAGTTTGATGCGAAAGATGTCGACCCACGTTTCACCACAGGGCCAAAACTAACATGCAGTACGCGGTCCCGCGAGGAAGTGGTACACAAGGCGCATTGCTCCGGCAAGAAGATCGTTGTGTACGCATGGGTGGAAGTCGAAGCAGCCTTTGAATTCAAGCGGGAAGGCTTCTGGAGCAGGCAGTGGGTGGCTTCTGCTGAGGTCGAGGTCTCTTGGAAGGTTCGGGCTGAGGTGTCCGATGCAAGTTCCGACAAGGGTGATCCAGCTTTTGAGGGCCTCCCATCTTTGCTGGCAGCCGGTGCAGCCGCCGTCGCCCTGGCAGCAAGGAAGATCTAACACGTAACATGCACACAGAGCCCAGAGACATCCATACCCCCGTCATTCGATCCCTCGATAAGGAACTCTACCGCAAATTGCCGTATCAGCATTTCTGCACAAGGGACACTTCAGGCAGGGACAACGGAGTCTCTGCGTTGTCCATGCCCTCAGTTTTGAGGAGATTGTGTTGGGGAACCAAGCTGCCAGTTTTCGCGAGTTTTGATTACGTGGGCCTCTCCAAAGCACCCAAGATTGATTTCGGGTTCCGTTTCGGCCTATTTTTGTCGCTTCTTATGCGAAGAGCCCTCAAGGATCATAGGTTGGAGCAAGCCCCAACACCCTAAACCCTAAACCCTAAACCCCTTGGAGCCTTTAAAGTTAGCTCTTGCAGCCATGAGCGACCACAAGCGCGCGGACAAGTATCAGAAAAGGCAGCCTTTTGTGTGTGATTCAGCTGTGTGGGGATCAATGGTACAGGACGCTTCCTGAACTAAACCCTAAACCCTACACCCCAAACCCTTAAATCCTAAGTCGCAGGACCCTGGTTGGCCTCTAGGGTTTAGGGGTTTAGGGTTGAGGGGTTTAGGGTTTATGGTTGAGGGTTAGGGATTAGGGTTTGAGGGTGAGGGTGGTTCGACAAGAAGCACGGTAATCTGCTTGTATCAAGCAGGCCTTCACCGTTCATAGCAGAGAGTTATACTTTACTGCGCACCACATCAGAAACAAGATAAAACACCCCCAAAGCCTCGTTCTAGTCACCAAAGTCCCTACATTAAGCGCACCCCTTTGTTCACATCGAAATTGTACATGCTTTTTCAACCCCCTGTCCCGCCACGTACAGCCATACCCCAAAGAGCCCTTTGATGGAGCTACAGTAACTGTGCTAACAGGGTCTTGAACAACAAGCAATACTCTTCCTCAGGATTCCTGATCCTAAGTAGAGTATCATATACCGCAAAACTGGCACAAAGCTTTCTTCGAGTTCCTCAGGTCCCCATATTACATGTTATATAGCCATCCCCAACCGTATTCTAGTTCTTCAGGCGTTCTTCAGGCCACCAAACCCTAAACCCTAAAGCGGGCTTAGATCTGAGTTTCAAGGCTGGAGCAACCTTTTGTTCAGCCTTTGCCGGAGAGCTTTCGGGTTTAGGCTTTAGGGGTTTTGGTCTAGTTTTTGGGGTTAAGGGCTTAAGGTTTGGTTTTCAGGGTGTTTAGGATTTAGTTTTTAGGAGGTTTATTCTCTTGGGTCTTTAGGGTTCAGGGTTTGTTTTTTGGGGTTTATGGTTTGGGGCCTCAGTCACAGCTGCAGTATCGCTAGAAGCACTTGTGCCAGGCATCCGTCGAGATTTTCCCATCCGCTGTCGCTGCGAGCAAGCGCGTGAGTGGTCAAAACATGGAGGAGCCGGGGATGTTTTCCTGCACACGACCCAGTGGCGACCCAGCCAGAAAGCTTAGCTGGAGGCTCATGGGCCGTCATCAGTAGCGCTTTGAGTGAGTGACGACCATGATGGTCGCCTTACCTGTGAGCCTACTTGCCCCGGATGATCCAAATAAGTCCCAATGCCACCCGTAGTTGAGAGTGAAGCCCACCCCCGTAGTGTGGTCAGCGGCATGACGAAACATAGGGGAAAAGGAGGGACCCTTAATGGGGACCCCTACCCTATAGTGGGCTACATAATGGGTATATAATGGCTATATTAAGGGTATATACCTAGGAGGCACATCATCATGATGCAGACCAGTCCAAAACCTTACACCTCGAACCCTCCGAACCGTGATGTGGCCATGAGGATGGCGGCTGTAATGAAGATTGAATCCAAGGGTAAAAGGATGGACCCTTAACAAGGACTTTTAGGTATATACCCCCCAATATAGCTATTATATACCCATTATATAGCCCATTACAGGGTAGGGGTCCCCATTAAGGGTCCCTCCTTTACCCCTTTGATTGAAGACGCTGTAAGATATCGGAAGGGAGATGTTTGGTCAGGGTTACGAGGCTTAGAAGGTTCTTCAGCAGGCAGTTCGGCTAGGATGCCCAGTAGTAGCCTTATTCCCTTTTTTGTAGTCCTAGGTTCCTTATAAAGTTACCCAATACCAAAAAGAGAGACCTTTTTATTCTTAGGTTACTTGGTATCCGAGGTTCGGCTAGTGAACTGAAATGAGACGACCATTTAAACAGCTCCGTTGGGAGTTGGGATCTTAGCATTTCTGATGCAAACCCTAGATCCTAAGCCACCAAAGCCGAAATTCAATCTCAAACCCTAAGCTCTAAAGGACAAAATATCGAGGTCGGATTCCCAGTCCTCAACCGTAAGCCCTAAACCCGAAACCGTAACACACAGCAAACCCCCTGGCCTGATTATAGAGGCTTGGGGAGACTAGGGCTCTGTATATATATACAGGTACATGTATAGATACATGCATGTATGTATGTAAACAGACAGTCGCATACACATGATATGTATAGAGATACATAGACATATACACATGTATATGCATACGAGAAAACACACACAGATATACATGTGTATATATATATACATATATATATATATGTATATATATATATATATACATATATATATACATATATATATATATATATGTATTCAATCATTCCGCCGCGTGTTCCTGGATCTGAGCCCCTCGCAGTGCACCTGCCGCCCCGGGCCAAACCCCTCAGCTGACAGAGCCCTGGGCCACAAGCCGCAAACCACAAACCGTAGGCTTTGAACCCTCCCTAAACCCTAAGCCCTAAACCCTTAAACCCTAAACCCTAAACAAAACCCTAAACCCTAAACCCTAAACCCAAAACCCTAAACCCCATCACCAAGGTCGTGGAACATAGTAGGCTATGACTCTTTCAATATGAGGTGCAGCCATTAAACTTGGTGCATAAAATAGCAGGCTGTAGCTGTTTCAAGTCAAAACAAGCGGGCCCCCCCACTTCGAACCTGAAACCACCAAAGACCCACCGCCCCAAGTCTCAGGAGCCCAAACCCAAAATGTCAAACTTCCACCAAGCCTTTAGTCCTAAATCTCGAAAGCCAAACGCAAAGGGTTAAAACGTTTATGGTTTCACAACCCAAAAAGATTAACACCAAAGCCCTAGACCCTAAACCCGACTATAGAACCCTTTAAGGAGCCCTTATAGATCCCTTTAAGGAACCCTCATAGATCCCTTAAAGGAACCCTTATAGATCCCTTTAAAGGAACCCTTATAGATCCCTTTAAGGAACCCTTATAGATCCCTTAAAAGGAACCCTTATAGATCCCTTAAAGGAACCCATAACTCGAAGCCCGCCGCTTCGTCTTCCGTCGATTTGCCATGTCCCGAGCCCGATGGCCCGGGACCCTGTGGTTTGGGGTTTAGGGTTTAGGGTTCAGGGTTCAGGGTTTAGGGTTCAGGGTTTAGGGTTTAGGGTTCAGGGTTCAGGGTTTAGGGTTCAGGGTTTAGGGTTTAGGGTTCAGGGTTCAGGGTTTAGGGTTTAGGGTTTAGGGTTTAGGGTTCAGGGTTTAGGGTTTAGGGTTTAGGGTTTAGGGTTCAGGGTTTAGGGTTTAGGGTTCAGGGTTTACGGTTTAGGGGTTATGTGGACCCCAAAAGCACATAAGCACAATCATTTTGTAGGGATATCCCTACCTTGTTGGGCTTCATTGTAAGGGGGTTTATATGGGATGTCCCTAACATCATTTTTACTTCTGTGCTTTTTTGGGCCTTATTCTTGGGGTTCAGAAACCCAAGGTGCTTTTTGAAGCTTCAGGGTTTAGGGTTTAGGGGTTAGAGTTTGGGTTTAGAGCTTCAGGGTTTAGGGGTTAGAGTTTGGGGTTTAGGGCTTAGGGTTTGCAGTTTACGATTTTGTGTAGAGAGTTGAGGCCATCCAAAACCCCAGGCCACTCGCCAGACACTATTTCATCTTAACTCGACCTGAACGTGTAAAACCTAGCATTAAACAAACCCAGCTTTTGGGGGGTTTTATGATGACTTGCGCAGCGTGGCTTTGAGAGCAATTGGAAGCCCTCGGCGACGTGGTGCTGGCGCGCTTCTACTTGGAGTTTCTTGGATATTGCGAAGTACGGTTGTAAGACCCCAACAGAGGCTATATCCAGAGCTATTGTACTTATAAGCCCTACTCACACTTGAAGGATCATGGGACTGAGCGACCAGGGTTATTACTAAGGTAACTATACTTATAATTACTTATAACCCCAATTAAGGTACTTATCACCATGCTTACTAAGTCCCATGATCCCCCAAGTAACTACACATGAACCTCCCGGTGCAGTACCGGCATCGTTTCTTGCGTAAGGCTCGAATTGTTAGGGGCTCCTCGACTGTCCCTAAACCCTACACCCTTCACCCTAAACCTAAACCCTAAACCTAACCCCAGAGAGCCCAATACCCCCCAATTAAGGCATGGGGCTTAAAATATGTAGGGCTTCATATTATGATTTAAGCTGTATTCCTTATTTAAGGCGTATCGGGCTCTCTGGGACTGTGACTGTAAGGCTTTGGGAATTGCGGCCTAGTGGGATTTCGGTTCTTAGCCCCGGGTCAGCCCTAGGCAGGCCAACAGCACAAGACACAAAACCCGCGCGGCTTAGGGTTTAGGGCTTAGTGCTTACAGTATGGGTTTAGGGTTTGGATTAGGGGTTTAGGGGTTTGCCGTTGATTTGCGCACGGCCGATGGAGTCATGCATCGAAAAGCTTGATCGAGTTCTTCGTACGTTCCGACTGGATGTTGAAGCCTGATTAATGTTGGGGCCCAAATAAATACCTGTACTATTTTCGGGGTTCCTTATTATGATTACAGTAAGTTATATACCAAAGCCTTATTCTAATTATCAAGGCCGCTACAGTATGGCCTTCTGTCAAAGGTTTCACTGTGCATGCTGGCTGGATCTGCCTGCTTGCTCACTCTTGCCTGCTGGCTAAACTCTCTTATGTTGGTGAACCTGCTGGCTCGATTTTGTTGTGTTTGCGAGCCTGCTGGCTCGATTGTCTTGTGTTTGCGACCTAATTTGCAAAGCTTGTCTCGGAAAGCACTCTTGTTTTCCTCTGCCAGCCGGTCTCTCCAGAGTCGCAAGCACACTGCTGGATGTAGCCGAAATACCAGACGGGATGACTGTTTTTGTTCCTTGTCTCTGCTATTTATTCCGTCTGATATTCAAGCACATCTCAGCTCTGCTTCGGCTTCTTCATTTTCAAAGCTCTCTGAGCCCACGAGAAGCAAATGAAAAAAGCCTGAGCTTGCGATCGCTTCTTCGGCGCGATCGCGCTGCCAGAAGAGCGATTCTCATCCACCAGATCTTCTCGAAGATCTGGATTGTAAGAGGCAGCGCAAGAGCCCCTGAGACGAGTGGTCACTGCCAAAGGCAAAAACATTCCACATGGCTAAGATTTGAATCTAACTTAGCAGACTAAACAAGAAAACAGATGATGCAAACAGCAGACCAGCGGCTTTCCCTCGAACGTCTTGCCACCGAGAAGACGGGCCTGGAAGTGAGGCAGAACTTGGTCTTTGGTCACGGCGTGAACAAAGACGACTTTGTCCTTCTCCAGGAGCCCATACTTCGAGACAAGAAAGGCAGGAATCGCAGCAGTGCTCACAAGCATTGAGCGGCCCTTCTCTGCCTTCTCGCGATTCTGACCATCTGTGTTCTGCCTCTGAGCATCTTCCTTTGTTTCGTCGAGCGGGTGTTAAACCATAGACTGCCAAGGCTTGCACATATGTGCAGTATGAAGAATGACCAGACTGCATATGCTAAGACGGCGAACTTAGATTTATAATAAATAAAATACTTTGCTAATTCAGTATGCAGCCAGGGCACAGCCTGAGCACCATCACTTGCATCGAAGAGATTGCTGTGCTTCTGCTCTTCCTGCAAAGTGGCATCACAAACTTTGTGGGCGGTGGCTATCATGAAGTCTCTTACTATTTCATGACAATATGTCTCGCGGGGACGAGGTTGGGTTTTCCAATCAAGAGTCAATGAACTGAATATGCACATGTCTTCTCCTGCTCCATGCCTCGCAGCAGCTCTGCAGCAGCTGCCCATGCAGGATCCTGGGGTTCCAGTGGATCCTGTGCCTGCATCAGAAAAGCAGTCAGTATGGATTTTTCAATGAAGCAAAATTTGGGCGATGCACTGATTTCGAAGACCAGCAGTACTAGTTATGACTGCGACATGCGAAAGGATTGAAGCAGAGACAACACAGGTGTGTCTGCACTGTGTGCAAACGTTTGCCTCGTCATCCGGCTGCTCCTCCTCATCGTCTTCGGCATCGGCGGCAGCGGCATCGATCTTCTGCAGTCGCTTGTCATCCAGCTGCTGGCAATGCTCCAGAATCTCATCGATGCGGCTCTGCTTCACGTGCTGTTTCACGACAGCCAAGGAGCAAACGGCACGGATCTTCTGAGTCTTTGTGGCGCTCTTTCTGAGACTTGACCCTGCTTCATCCAAGACGCGTGAAAGAGCATCTGAAGTCAGACTCAGAATCCCTCCGGATTTCATCAGAGCTGCCACCAGAGGCAGGTCGTTCTGGCACCGTCGCAGAAGATAGCCATCCGGGCTGAGGTGCACCGAGTAGTTGAAGACTCGCACCTTCAGCTCAGGATCAGCTCTCAATCTTGCAAAGAATGTGGTCACAAACAGAACCTAAGCTCTGCGTCTTTTTTCCAGGCAGCCTGCCAGAACTTCGTGAGGAGCAACTGCAAGGGCTTCCTTTGCAGCATTTTCATGATTGAGCTGAATGAACAATGAACAACTGCCTGTGATGTGAACATGCGAAAACATATGCAACCCCAACTTCTCTGTTTCAGCTATGAACTGAAGCCAAGGTACTCGTTCACCTCAACCTTCAGAGCCCTGACAAACTCGTTGGTCTGCAAAGGATCCTGCTGCTCCCGGCTCGAAGTGGGCACCTCCTGCTCATTCAGCGTCTCGGGCGGCAGCTCTCCACAGAACTGCAAGTCCAGCTCTTGCAGGGGCAGTGCCTTTCCGTAGATTCGGTGGGGCAGAGCAAAAAAAATCTTGTCTGATCCAGAACTCTGCACATCTAACGTCTTGCAGGCAGGATGCATGGCAAACAGCTGGGGTGGAGCCGACAGAAAGGAAGTACTTGCCCCCCTTCTCAAGACTGAACAGCATGCCACGTTGGCAAAGCGGAGGCACCCAGAACGATCTGGCGGCAACCTCCACATCGATGCCCATCCTCAGTATCAATACAGATTAGCTTATTTACTCTCCAAACAGCAAGAGCACGGGAAAGCCACAGTCTGGCTGTTCTTCAGGCCAGGATCTTGTCGGCCAGCAGAAGTCCCTGCATGTTGTTGAGGTGGAGCTTGTTGTGGTTGAAGGCAGTCGTGCCGGTGTTGTCCTTCAAGAGGTCATCCAGGGACATCTCTTTTCCTCAGTTTTTGCAGACAGAGGGAGCGGGTTGAATACCAACAAACACACACACACACAGACAGACATGCACATATGATATATACTGCTTTTTGCTCTGCTCTTGGAGATTTCGAGACATCTGAGACACACAAAGTCACGATGCAAAGAGGAATGGCCACAGGAGGCTGGCGAGCTTGCTTCAATCACTGACACGAGGCCGCCAAGAGTCTGTGCATGTCTGCATCAGAACAGTTATTGTTATTGTGTATGAGCAGCAGGCTTTGTCAATGAGCCTTTGGCTAGGTTCGAGATGTTAGTTAACGGAGACAAAAGATGACATAGTTTCTTTCCAGGAGTCCGCCGGTAAAGCTCTCCGGGGAGAACAGCTTTGACTTGAGTGCTTTCACCTCTGGGCCTTCAAAATCAGAACCCTCCAGCACCACAGATCGAGCTTGGCCTTCGCCGTTTGTCATTTTCTGCATCAAGGCCCTCATCGCGACGATGGACAAGTTCGGCATGCTCGCCGCTCCAGCTTTCGTGCGACGGCAGGCCTCCTCGCACGACTTGAACACGTCCTCGACATTGGACGACTGCGAGAGACCGGGATACCAAGCAGAGACCATCTCACGGCATTCCGCAGTCAGGCAGAAGTCCGCAGCAGCCAAGCTGGACATGAGCTCCCTATAGCACTGGTGCAGCACGTAGGGGCAGAGCTGATGCAAGAGGTCGGCGGTCGCCACCTTGCCCTCCATTCGCACCACCAAGCTCCATTCGGCCTTGACGGCCTCAAGCAAGTTTGTCTGTGTTGGCAAGAGGCTCTCGCCAGTGGTGCCCGAGGCCAAGAGACTGGCACAGGCGTGCGGTGCCATTCTGAGGTGTCTGGCGTAGCTCTCGAGCTCGAAGCAGCAGGCGAGGGTGGCCGTCAAGTGGTCTTCCAGAAGCCTCTGCTTGACGTAGCCACGGCGACTGACGACCTTGGTCTTTTCTGAGCTCTTATGCAAACGTCCTCATAACTGCTAATCCATGTCGTAGTCTCAATTCTGAACACGTCGTGCACGTGTTACAATCAGTCGTGTCAAAATCGAAAGAGCCAACTGACTTTGAACTTCGAACTGATGTGCGAGTGTCAGACTCTATATAGTTTCTTTGGTATCGGGCCAGCACAGTGGATTGTTAAGGACAGCCCGGAACCTCCACTTCTCTTCAGAGAGACATCATGCAGTCCGGCGGAACCGCCACTTAAGCAACACTTAAAAAAACAGAGTCCGTTGCATTGCTATGCAAAACTATGAGGTGCAGAGTGTTTCGTTTGCCAGGACTGATCGCTGTGATGATGTACGTCTCAGTCTCGCTTCGTGCACGTTATCTCGCAGTGGAATGCGTTCTTCTGCAGCTGGCATTGTCTCTGGCTCCCAAGAGACTATGGCTTGAAACTGGACACGTCTCGACTCACTGTCTCTCAAGATGTCTCGGCACCCTTGGCGACCCAAGCTGAGAATAGCTAGCCCCTCTGGCTTAACTTTTGCAGGCTTCCATTCAATGCCCTGCAAGCAACGTCTTTCTTGCTTACTTGTCAAGTCTCAGGACCTTTGGTGTGGAGGAGAGAGCCAATGCCCAGAGCCCGTCTTCTTACTTAAGACATATAGCGTCTTCTTCCCCTTCTTTTCAATCAGGAAACCCAGGCCGACAGCTGGGAAAACTCTGCGGATTAGCCGCACTGTCTCCTCGTGTCTTGACTCGTCTCGATGATCAGCCGGGAAACGGTGTTCATACTAGTTGGCTCAACGAGTACGAGTCTTCTCTGACTGCCCAACCATAGCGTTCAGAAGGTGGAGACCGGCAGAGGTCTGTCGAGCTTGCAAGATTCGGACTGGTGACAGTGTCGCTCCCTCAGGAGTATGGAATGCCCTGTGACACAGCCAGTCATCTAGACTTCATCGGACAAGCATCCCAAATCATGTCTGCGATCGTGCTGTCTCAGGGAGAGAAGATTTTCGAAGGAACAAGAGCAAAGCTGCAGGCAAGTCACCTCCACCAAGCCGTTGTCTCGCAGCTCCACATCGGGTGGGGCGTCCAGATACGAAGCAGCTTCAGAGCCCAAGGCTTCCCGAACATGTCGTGCGACCTTGCCGTCGAAGGACTCCTGGAGGAAGAGGGCATGGTCGTGCTCCGCCATGAGCTTGGACTTGTTCGCTTGCTTGGTTGCCGGCAGTCATATGCAAGCTGTCTAAGCACAAAGTCAGTCTCCAGGGCTCCACAGACGACACACGACACACTCTCTTCTCCCGGGTTTCTTCTCTCTTCTTTCTTTCGCGGTAATCTAGAGCCCAGCGGCGATCTGGATGCCGAGGTCGCACCAGGGGCGGGAGTGGAATTCCAAGGATCTGTAGAGGTCGTGGGAGCTCTCGTCGACAAGGGCCTATGCAATTGATATCTGAGCACCTCCTATTTATTAATTACTTTGATTTGAACATGACAGAGTCAAAACAGTCAGCTGGAACTGGTATTTCAGGCAAGTGGCTCTGATACACAGATCGACGATCTTGTCGTACTGTTCGCCGGAGTCGCCGGTCTGTTTCGCTCCGTCGGTGCCCCCGAAGGGGTTGACACCCTCCTGACTCATTATTTGTTGGACACATGAGACGACCCGGAATCAAAAAGAACAGAGGCTAGCAGAAGACAAGTTCAGACAGGGTTCTTCAAGACACCCCCAGTACACCATCAAGAGCGTGCACGAGTAGCTTCTCTTGAACTTGCGGGCGGCGTGTCCCCAACTGATCCACCTCCCTCGGTCGAAGAGGGAAGCCACAGACCTCAGGTCTGGCTCGCGGATAGAACTCACGATCTTTGTGCACTCGTCACAAAGATGCCTTGGCGAGCGGCCTTGTCGCATTTCCCAGAATCTCGCAAACTTTCTCGAAAGACTCGCGACTTCCCAAATCGGCAGGGAACCCGTTCCTGAGCAGTGTTAAAAGGGAAAGGAAAATGAGTATATGACAACAATCGCAATCGTCTCACGACAAGGAACTCCTTCAGGATGCTGGGCCCAAACAACTGCATCAAGGAATCGTCCTCGGTGGCCTGGGGGTCTCTTCGTGCGGGACATGACGACAAACAGAGCTGGGCACTGCAGCCAAGGTGCAATTTGAAGATAGCGTTGACCGCTTTCCCGCCAGGATTGCCCTACGGCTGAAGTTTTCCACGGTGCCCGCTTGGCTCGCATGAGCCAAGATGTAAGCGTGTACATTCCTCAGGTCTACAGACTGCACGGGTCTCCACATGGACAAGATTCGCTATCTCCAGTTGCATGTCTTGCAGTGATTATTTTTGCACCATTTAACATCAGATGCCAGAGGCGGGCTCTTAGTAAATTAGTAGCGGACAGCTAGAGGATGCGACCAAGGGCGTGCATACTTTTTCTGCGGAAACGACCCTCAGCTGATACTCTCTAGGAAATAAAGCCCGTAGAAACAGTACGGCGTGCAAAGTTTTCTCGGGAAAGGTCTCCGACCTGTCGCTGATGTGTAGCTACACATAGCTTCGAGCCTGAGGCTGAGGCTTAAAAAGCTCTTCACAGAAGACTCGGACGTCCAAAGTCCCGTCTTAGTAGCAGCCCCACACAATTGCTGCGGTGACTCAGTCTCTTCGGCAGATGCCAGGACACAATACTTTTGTCAGGCAGAGGAGGCAATCGGAATTGCAGCTTTGGGTTGCGTTCCGTCAATATACATTCCCTTGCGGCGTCTGATTCTTCCCTTGACAGGATGACCAAAGCCTGTGAGAGACTCTCCTTGTTGAGCGAAGACCCAGCAGTACATCACAACATTTGTTGAACGACTCAACCTGATCTTGTCTGGGAGGCCAGGACAAACGATCGTTCAGGGACGTCGCGGGTTGATTCAATGATTGCTTTGTGAGCAGGGTGTGCACCATCTTGAACCTGCTAGTACTTATGCTTTAGCATGACCGGCGTCAGAACTCAGTGCATCTACTAGGTTTAGGGTTCAGGGTTCATAGGGCTGATTTCCAACCAAGAGTCTTTTCACGGACGGCGTGCACTTCAGCAGGCGAAGATAGCTGTTCTGAAGCTTGTGCCTTGAGGCAATTATGATGAATGAAATGAATTGATGTCATGGCTGGGGCTTCCAACACCGCACAACAGTCTGAGTCTGAAGTCTGAATGCATGAACTGAACCAAAGCCAAGGTACATAAGATCCGGCAGAAAACTGATGCGGTATCCCCTCTTGGCGAGCCATTGGAACCCGGCCCATAAGGGCCCCCCCTCATCCGGGGCCAACACCAGCCGAAGCTCCTGAAGGTCCTCAGGAAGGACTGCGTCCCATTGGGCCGCCCCTGACTCCGTGTGCCACAGCATCGGCCCCAAAGATGCATCCGTCAGGCGGATCTCGCCATTCCTCAGGTCTGGGGGCCTCAGCTGCCTTTCGGACAGCCGGAAGTCGAGGCCTGCAAGACTGAGTATGTGCATGACAGCCTGCACTTCCTCCCTCGCAGCGAGACGTCGTTGTCTGATGAGGCCGAGGACCTTTGGCCTCGACAGCATTGAATCTCATTTTAAAGAATAAGGGAAGCAACAACTCCATTGTCTTGTCGCAGCAAAGACACAATTTCTTGTTTCTCCCCGGGTTCGGCTCTACAGACTGGGCTGCGAAGTTGTCGGCCACTCGTTGGGCTTCCTTCATCTTCACCGTGTCGCTCACGGTGCTCGGCAAAAGTGCCGACATCTTTTGCAAGGGGCCCAGCACGGCCAGGTCGCCGGCAAAGAGAATGGGGCACCAGACCTCACATGCCGCAAAAAATCGCTGGAATCTTATCATCCAAAGATTTGGTGATCCAACCATGCAGGAAATCCAGCCGAGAGTCATCCAGCTTCCCTTTGGGAGAGGCATCAGACATCAGGAGGACACTCTTGCAGTTCTGCTTTTCTACAACCTCGGCACTCGCGGGGTGTTATTTGTGATGGCTTCTTCTAAGCAATGGCCACCGAGCCACCCGACTAAGCTGATCGAAGCTTTTGTTCCAGAAGTGGAAAAGAACATCGCAGCTCAGCCTGACGAGACCAGAAGCACACCTTTGATGCAAGCGGACACGGACAGGCACCCGGTCCTGTGAGCATGAGACACAAGGATCTCCGACAGGCCCAAGCTCTCGAGCGTGTTGTCGTCGGATCTGTTCATGAACCCGGCAGGCTTGGCCAGGAATCGCTGCAAAGCGAAGATGGACTTCGGCTTGGCTTCCCGTTGGAGCGTACGGCCGTCCCTTGGCCACGGAAGTGATCGATGGGAAACAAGAGAAGCACAAGCAGCAAGACATTGATGAATGCAGCAGCCTTGAATGCCACTAGGTTTCTTTTTCATCGGGTGCAGCTGATGCTCTGCTTCCGGCTTGGGCATGGTCTCTCGCATGTGTTCGGCAGCATGAACCTCTGCCTTCTGGCAGAGCCCATGAATAAGCCTTTTCTGGACTCGTCGAACTGGGACACGACCCTGATCCAAACTCGAATCTGCTGCTTGTCCATGAGATCAGGCCAAGTCCGCTCATGAAAAAACAAAGTATTCATACAGCAGGTGCAACAAGGCATGACTGAAGGTCCTCGCAGACCATCTCATCGCGAGGAACTCGCAAGATGAACCATACCACTGAAGCCAGTTTGACACCTTGCTCCACATCAGAATGCACAAGGCTTGGAAGTAGTCTCTCGGAGCAGCGACACACTGATGATGGAGCCTAGCTGCCTGCTTGGAGCTTCTGGACATGTGAAGGAAATGCTCTGCATTTGGACCACCTGAACAGAGACAGGAAAACCTGATTAATCATGCAAGAATCCAAAGACATGGCTGGCTGCAGCAGCAACAGCAGCAGCCTCCCGAACCAGCCCAAGAACTGGAGGGTCCGGGTCCATTGCTCGAGGTTCACCTCGTAGCCGTGCATGCGAAGCTCGCCTTGGGACGTAAAGGCGAAGGTAGATTACCAGAATCGGTCGCCCGTGTCACGGCGGTTTGCAGCCATGGCGCTTGCAGCCACCTGGGGGAGCAGCTGCAAGGTGATGTCGCCAGGTACAAAAGTCTCAAGGAAAAGTTCCAGAGTTCGCAGCGTGGACTTCTGCAGCTCAGGCTTGCAAGATCGCCCCTGCAGAGAGCTGCCAGCCTCAGTCAGTGACTCATCTAATGTCTCCGTAAAGCCGAAGGAAGCAGTCGAGTCTCCAAACAAGAAATCAGAAAGCACAGAATCCAAGTCACTGTGAAGAAGAAACCCAAGAAGGTCATACCTTCGAAGTTGATCCTCACGGAGGTCTCCAGGTTTTTTTGGCCCTTGTAACTCTGGGGCCGAACCAGGTGGATCCAGAAGTCGATCTGCCAATCGGTGGCGATGTCCTTCGTGTTCCCTTCGCTCCTTAGTTTGTATTTTTTATCTAATGCAACGATCCACATCATCTTGGTTCAGACTTGACTGTCGTAAGTGACAACACGAAACCACCGTTTCATGACTAGGCTCAGTCGGGTGTACCAGTTGCAGTACTGGGTTCGCAGTGCCAGCAATTTCCACACTTCTTCGGTACGTAGCAGAAGCCTGTACCCACTGGTCTGTGACATCAAGTCTGGCACCTCGTGCGAATATTGTGACACGTTGTCTCAATGTGTGATTGCATCTTTGGTTCAGATGGAAAATTGCAGCCGCGAAGCATCGTGAAGCTGCAAGACACACTTCGCTCCAGCCCGACTCGGCATGTAGTAGACCTTGTTGGGAGTGAAAGAAGAAGCCGACGGAGCACTGGGGGATGCTGAGTCTTCGATCTCCACAGCATTTTCCAGGGGCAAGTCCAGGAACTGTCGCGGCCTTATTGGCATGCCCACTGAAGCTGCTGCTCTGCGGCTGCCATCCCGCAAAACCTTCAGTGCCAAGAGCTTTTCCACGACTCGACTCACGGATTGAGTTCGGTCAGGAGACTAGACAACGAGACACTTCAGCCAAGAGATAAAAGAGATACGTATCAATGGAATTGAACCCTGGGCTGCACGGGCCTCCCACTCAGAGGCCTTGACAATGCCAGTCTTCTCCGAGACCGGCTCCTGCTTCTCGATCTTTCCATCCGCAAGATCCAGGAACTTCGTGAAGCGGAGTCTCAGGGTCTTTTTCTCGTCTTCATCTGGGCACCTTTAGAGACGGTCGGGTGTTGATCTTAATGCCTGCTGGCTGGAACCGTTTAGGTAAAATCGAGCCAGCAGGCACTAAGGCCATTAGGGCGAAAATCCCGGATTCCCCGCCCGGCGGCCTTCTCAGCTCCTCCACTTTGCTGCTCAGCCACCTTTCCAGGACCTCCATTCTTCAGTCCTGGGATCTAATGGGACAGGTGGCCTTAGTGCCTGCTGGCTCAGCGTCTCGCGGTTCGGGTGCGTTTGCGGTTGGCGACTCGCGGACTGTGGGTTGTCGAGCCAGCAGGCATTAGTGACATCGAGCCAGCAGGCACCTAAAGAAGGCCGTTATGACTATTTAGAATCTTGCATTAGATTTCGCCCGTTAGATCCTTAGTGCCTGCTGGCTCGTGCGTTTGCGGTTGGCGAGTCGCGGGTCGGAGTCGTGACGAGCCAGCAGGTTGTAACGAGCCAGCAGGCACTAAGCCATTAGGGGCAAATCCTGTCGAGCCAGCAGGCACTAAGGCATTAGGGGCAAATTCCGTGCCAGGCCAGCCCAGCTCGGATCGGATCCCCAACTCAGGCAGCCAAGGCTCTCTCTGGACAGACTCGAGAGGTCCCCAATCTGCAATCCAAATCACCTGACCGTCTTGGCTCCGGGAGCATTTTGTTTTGGCGAGAAGACATCAGAGTCCCGGAAAACCGTAATTTTAGGATCAGGAATCGCCGTATACCGGTCTGAATTCATTCATTAATTAATTATTCGCCCCAAATCCATGATCTGAGATGGAGACTGAAAGGCTAATACCTCAGGCACTGAAAAAACAGACTGATGAGACCGTGCTCCGGAGCTCGTGCTGACACTGCCCTCGTGTGCTATTTCTGCAACAGCATCTGTCTGCAGCTCCGGTGAACATTTCCTATGCATGTGGACACGTGAACCCAGGAACCTGCCAGAGAATAATAATGAATATATGAAATGAACTGAATGGTTTACTAAATCAAGTTCAGGGCTTCTGGAGACAAGCCTCTGTGGTGTTGATTGGAAGCTGTGAGAATTGCCATCATTCCACTGGTTCAAGGTCAAAAAATCAGGGTGCGAAACAGAACCTGATTCCTGACTACTAAAGCTGAGACAGTACGGGTGTAGGCATTCCGGTGAGGAGGTAGGACGTCTGGGTGTGTGCATATGCGTGGGTGGGTGTGGTTTGTGCGTCTGTGCGTGCGTGTGTATGGGGGTGGGGGGGGGTTGGGTGGGTTGGTGGGTGGGTTGGTGGGTGGGTGGACGGGCACGTAGGCTAACTGGCTGGCTGGCTGCGGGTTTGTTTGCTTGTGTGCGGGGCGTGCATGTGTGTGTGTGGGTGAGGTGTGTGTGTGTGTGTGTGTGTGTGTGAGCGTGTGCGTGTGCGTGTGTGTGTGTGTGTGTGTGCGTGCGTCTCTGTGCCTGTGGGTGTGTGTGTGTGTGTGTGTGTGTGTGTGGTTTTGTGCTGCGGGCATGCGTTTGCGTGTTTCTGCATGCGTTTGTGCGTGTGTGTGTGTGGGTGTGAGTGCATGCGGTCCATGTGTGTGTGTGTGTTTGTGCGTCTGTGCGTGTGTGTTTTTGTCTGGGCGTGTTGTGTGTGTGTGTGTGTGTGTGTGTGTGTCTGTGTGTGTGTGTCTGTGTGTCTGTGTGTGTTGTTTGCGTGTGTCTGTGGTGTGTTTGTGTGTGTGTGTGGTGCGTGCGTGTGTGTGTGTGTGTGTGTGTGTGTGTGTGTGCGTGCGTGTGTGTGTGTGTGTGTGTCTGTGTACCAGTTTGCGTCTGTGGCGTGTGTGTGTGCGGGTGCCTCTGTATGCATGTGTTTCTGTGTGTGTGTGTGTGTGTGTGTGTGTGTGTTTCTGTTAGTGTGGGTATGTGTTTCTTTCAGCGAGACTCTATTCGGACAGCGAAAGAAACCAAACCTGTCCGGGGTCTTGGCAACCGAGACATTACAGTCTCTCCTGGCCTTGGCATCCACGAGGCCGAAGAGGAGAGCAACGACATTGTCACAAGTGGCTCTGAGCGAAACAGCACTGCTTCTGCTAAGACTTCGCATCAATGATGTCGCTTTGGTCTGTCTTGTCAAATTGTGGTCTGCGACAGTCAGCTCAGATCTGGCTACCCGTCATTACCACATCTGGTCACACCTAGACAGAACTCTCAGACACCTGCCCTTCGACCGTATTTTGAATCACGTACATCATCCTTGAGATAGAGAAGCACGGCGGAGCAGAATCTCCATAAGTCAGTCACTTTGGAGAAGAGACTCGCTCATGATGCAGAAACACATGCCTGTGCACTCGTGCAGTGGCGAAGGAACACCGTCACAGACAGATGCTGTCAGATAGGGCCACGAAAAGAGAGCGAGCGAGAGAGAAAGACAAAGAGAGAGAGAGAGAGAGAGAGAGAGAGAGAGAGAGAGAGAGAGAGAGAGAGAGACAGAGAGAGTGAGAGAGTGAGATCATGAGGCACGGAAACAAAAATGGAGTCTATGTATTCGCGATGAGAACTCAACCTCGCTAGGAAGACGGAGCAAAAACCGCCTGGTGATGTATGGAAACATCGAGCAATGAGGGAGAACGAGGAAGCGACTGGCGGATATCCGTAAGAGATACATCACACTCGTGCAGACGGACAAACCACAACAGACACCCGTCCACACACATAGACAGAAGAGGGCAACAAGACAGAGCTGCCAAGCACAACGTGGTCTGACAGGCAACATATCGGAGAATGATCCTGCTGGGGAGGCATTGCGTCTTTTTGGATTGCAAGCCACACCTGCACCCAGGTCTGCTGCCGAGTCTAAGGCAGAGCAGAGCTGCTGGTAGCTCTCGCAAGCGTGGAACCAAAATCACTGCATCTGTGACAACTAACACAAAGCAGAGACAAGCGGCTTGCCACAAATTGTCAAAATGCCCGAAGCCCCAGCTTCACGGCTCCGTCCTGGCAGCTTCCATCTCCTGGCGGACAAGAACTGACGGAGAGATGCATAACATGAGACAGAGCACTGCTTCGGTCCACTCCTTCAACTTCTTGGGCCAGTCAGTGAAAGCCTTCTTTCCCCGCATAGTGAGGCTCTTAAAGGATCGCAGAGACTGTTCGCCGAGATCTTCAATCCAGGAGCCTCGGGTTCAAGACATAAGGTCAGCTCAGTAAAAATACCTGCTCAAGCTTTCTGCTGAGCCCAGCGACCGTCTGCATCAGCCAGGAATTCCAGGGCATCTTTCAAAGTGAGGATTCCTTCTTCGCAGAGGATCTTGACGAAGTGTCGAACATCATTCCTTAGGTAATCATCCACAGCAAGCACACGGATAGCACATTCATTGTCTCGCGTGTGAAGACAACAGAAGCACAACAACAGCCGTTCAGCAAAGCTTCGCGGAGGCACTCGTGGGCAAAGCATCCAGGAGCTCTCCCTCCAGCGTCTGCAGCATGGCCTTCATGTCGTCGTCCAGGCTTTGCCAGTGCTCGTCCTTTACACCTGGCTCCTCCCCTTGCGGCTCCTCCTTTGGCTTGTCGTGCAACTCCTCCTTCGGCTCCTCCTTGGTCTTGCCTGGGGCCTCGGCTGGCTCGGGAGCACCTTTCAAGGCAAAGCGACCTTCGCCGAAGAGGTCGTTGTCCTCGCCCTCCATGTCGCCCAGGCTCTCGCGATCCGACTGATCACTCTGCTCATCTTCCTCGCTCTCCTTCTTGACCTTGGTGCGAGGAGTCGGAGTCTGGAACAGCGACCGGGGCCGCTTGGTGGAGGAACCTTCGCCCTCCGGCTCGATGCTGCGTTTCTTCTGCTTCGAGACGGAAGGAGTGCTTGCAGGAATGTCCAACGAAGCCTGCTTCACATCCTTCTGGGCCTCCTGCAAGACAAGAAAACTAGGCCACTGGAATGCAATGCAAGGCCAGGCTTACTTGCAGAAGCAAAGACGAAAGACTTCTTTTGTCGCCAGGCATTGAACTGCGAACTTTGTCGGGGCATGGTAACACAATGCCCTATTCCGCAGCCTGCTACTGGCTGCTAGTGCCGTTCCCGGTGCTTCTTCTCACGAGAACCATGGCCACCGGAACCAGAGCCACGAGCTCGCTTGCTGCCGTAGTGGTCCGCCTCCTTCTCGCGTTTGCTCCTGCGGGGCGGCAAGTGGCAAAGAAAGACACTTATTAATCGTATTCTTATTCTGTTTCTTTGTGCAAGCTCCAGCCTCTGCGGTGGGGGACCCGGCGGCTCCGGCACGGCATTCTTCACCGGGAGCACCTTCGGCTTCGGCTTCAAGACCTCCCGAACAGAGCCCACACCAGCACCATCGTTCTTTTCCTCCTTCTTCGGCCTGTGATGGAGCCTTGCCAAGATCTCCAGCTTGGTGTTCTTGTCGATGGTATACCATCCAACTCTTTTGTAGATGGTCTTCACCGGCTGGTCCGGGGTCTCGTACTCGTACTGAGTCGCCTTCTTGACCGGGGGGCTGGCCTTTGGGACTTCCGGCTCCAAGTTGACTTCCTCCTGCTCTTCCTCGAAGTCCTGGGTGTCCTCCTCGCCCTCGGGCTCATGGCCAGTCTCGGCATTCGCCTCCTCCGGGGCCTCGTGGTCCGTTTCCTCGGTCTTCGGGGCGGTCTCTAGAGGAGGCTGCTGCTCCCCTTGGGCAGGAAGGCTGCTGCCCTGGCCCTGGCCCTGTCCCTGGCTGAGCATCATGTATTGCATCTGGGCCAGGGAAGTCATGAGCTTCTGCATATCGGCCACCGTTGGCATCCCAGGCGGCAGGTTATTGGAGGCCATGATTGGAGCCGCCGAAGGACGAACTCAGAAAAATCTCTTGCCCACAAGAGCTGCAGCACGAAAAGCCACAGGTGCTTGCACTGCAATGTCGGAGCCTGTCCAGAACGTCTTCATGCATGCAAAGCCTCACTCAACTTGCACAGCAGACTGAGACAAACACTCACTCTTAGACTTTTTCCCGGACGAGCACCGTAGCCTGGATCTGGCAGGGCAAGCAGCAGCGGTCAGGGCTTCTTCCCCTTGCCGCCTTTATTCTCTGCCTTCATCCACTGCTTTCCTTTAAATCCGTACTGGGCCCAATCTCTGTGGCAGCGGGCACAATTGTGGTGATTATCAGTGTGTTCACTGCAGTCGCCGGGGCGACTGCAAAAATTGACTTTGCAGGTCGAACACACCTCTCGCCATCCTGCCTTCACTCGCGTCCACTGAGGCTTCGGCGGCGGGGGAGGCTCATCTGCATTCTCTGCCTCCTTGACGGCATTCTCACGTCGTTCCAAGTCTTCCTGCCGAGCGTTGAGCGTCTCTTCCCAGGTGTTCAGCCGCTCTTCCCGCTCATCCTGCTGCTCTTGCCGTTCGTCCTGTTCCCCGTCGCGAGAGCGGATGTGCTCATTGATCATCTCGGCCAGCGACCGCTTCAAACCCAGCATCTCCTTTTTGTGGCACTCGTAGCCCGCCGACCCGCCCGAGCTGTCAGCCATGGTTCGCAGGATGCAGGGAACACGGAGGCTTCAGGCCAGAGACTGCTGCAGACGGGTCGCTGCTCGAACATCACAAGTGCCATGGACCAAGAACATGCGACACGAAGCAGAAACACTCAAACGAAGCTCCTTCCGAAGCTCGGCGATGGTGTCGTCGTAGAGCTTTGAGAACTCATCGGAGGTCTTCTTCAATCTCCTCGGTCACACACAAACATCCATGGTTTGCTGAACACATGGACCTCCTGCCTTTGCCAAAGAAGAAAGGATGGAAAGGAAGCCGAGGAACCGTTTCACAGTCTTCAGCAGACTGACAAGCAGCGAAGTCACATCCTCCATATTCCTGGCATTGCTGACTGTGATCTCCGAGGGCTTCTTCTGGAAAACTCAGCTGACCAGAAATTCGAATCAGCTGGCCAAGACACAGCAAAGCACACACAGCCACTCTGTCAGTTTGTTGTGTTTTAGAAATTGCTTCCAAGATGCGTGTCTCCAGCACCTGCTCCAGCCTTTTCTTCCACACGTTTCCGGCCATGTTCATCTGATCAGGAAAGGACTTGAGTAGACAACAAGAAATCACAGAGTCACTGCTGGCCCAAACATGCCCAAACCATGCACCGCCTTTACCATGGCTTGGTTCTGGCCCTGCACGTCCTTGGATCTCTTGCAGCGGTGCACACCTTGTGCACAAAGAGCCTCCTTAGATAGCTGCACACACTAGCAGCAGCACTTCGCGAGCTGCATAGTCCTGGAACAGCTTGATTCAGAGGAGACAAGGTGCGTACTCGCCACCTATGTTCAGGAGGTCGGCGGCAGAGACCCAAGGAGCCATGTTCGTCATGGCAGCAGCCATCTGCTTGCAGCTCAGGTCCGAGAAGCGTATCTGAGCAGAGGAGCGAGCCCACTCCTTCTGAGTCATAGCAAAGATAGACAGGACATCCGATGCATCCTCCCTGCAGTCATCTGAGCCCTCCGGAGATGAAGAGGAAGAGCCTCAGCCAAAACTAAATTCCAGAGCGGCTTTGATTGATTCATTCATTGATACAACAAGCACATGACATGTCTATGTTTTATCGGGGATCGCTTCTTCTTCTTCTCCTTCTTTGCAGGGGCCGGAGCTTGGGCTTCGAAGCCACCTCAAGCATTTCTTTCCAGAAAGGAAAAGACATGTGCTTTGTCACTTACAAGACCAGTGAAGCTGCCTGATGACAAAGCCTTCGCCAGTCGAGTCTGAGCCGACGAGAGCATAAACATGGATGCTTCCTTGTTGTCCCCGTCCGTCGCTTCCAGAGAGCGGGTGCTGCTGGTCCTCGATCGAAGAGCAAACAAAGGCTTAGACCTCCTAACCTAATGACATGAGCAGACAACAGTGTGTCTTGGTGTGTCCTTGTTGGAGCACGAGATCTCGCGGACATCTCTGGTCTAGCGTCCCAAGGCTAAACCAGGCCACTGAGCTGAGGAGACAGCTAGGCAATACAAGCGATCATGTGCTGCGGCAGAAGCCAAGTTCCCACCGTTGCCAAGCACATGCATGCCGTTTCACTGAAACCCTCAAAAGAGAGGAAGACACACAGGATGCGGCTAATCTCCAGCCGGCTGCTGAAAGTCTGAGACATTTGACAATGCCCAATGAAATTGGAGACGAAGCAGGAGGAAGCTAGAAGCACAAGTATTCCCAGGCCATACAGAAAGAAGAGAGATACAGCATGATTCCAGAGCACTGACTCCAAAAGGGAAACCATGATCGAGACTTTTATTAGGACTAGGACATGCATGCAGCAGAGACACAGATCTGCTTCCAAGGCGATTCTTTTTCGCGTGGCCGAGACCAGCCGGTCTCCTCTAAACTATGCTGCTCTTCGCAGCCAAGGCTCGCAGACACCTCCTCCACGAAGCTCTGCAGGGGCCAAAATCGTGACCTCGCTCTCTGTCAGCAGGCACAGCTAGTTTACCCATCAATGATGATTCAGGATCGAAGACAAAACACTCCAACCAGCCAGGATTCGACATGTCATCGGTGTGTGCTCGTCTGCACACTATCATAGAGATGCCCAGCTGCATCCTGCCGTGTGTAACCATGAAAGTCGGTATCTTTTCGCTGGATCTTTCACAGAAACTCACGACAACAAACAAAGACGGTCCTTCGGCCAAGACTCAGACAAGATCAAGATCATAGTCGGAGTCCTCGTATCCCTCGGAGCAACCCCCCACCCACCCGCCGTGAAAGCAACAAGCAAGAAAAAGCCTATGATCACGACTGAAAGAAGACCTCGTGCCTGACCTTGACATTACACTATTATTTAGGTTGCGAACCAGGCACAAGGACCTGCCAATCGTCCTCAGCGGCAGCAGGAATCGGGACCAGAGCTCGCGGAGCCGGGGCCTGCCCAGTGAACACCCCCCGAGATAGGGATAAGAAAACTCAACGTGCCAAGTGTCACCGTGACAATCTGGCGAGGCTCTGATGTTGGTATGAGACTGAAGATGACTCTGCCAGTGCTGGGAAGACAGAAGCCTCAGAAATCTCGCGGCTAATCCGCCGAGACAAGACGAAGACCCTGGGAGACTTATTCTTCTCTCTGAGATGCTGCGAATGGGCAGCCTTGTGAAGATTGATTGTAGCCAGAGACATTTCGCGGCTAATCCGCGGAGACAAGCCAAGAGTGGAGCAGACTTCATCGTGTCTTCTGAGACAAGGAGACAGCTGCTTGAAAAGGCTTCTCGCGAAGCCCGAGTCTCGCCGTGCCCGAAACAAAGCCAAGGCCAGATGCCAAGGGGCTGGGGTGGGCTGTCTACAATCTAAGCTCAAGGGTCCTGCCTGGGCATCGCCACCCGGAGCCGTTGGCCGCAGAAACTGGTTCACCTCAACGAAGCACATGACAGTCGAAATGCGGCAGTATTTGGCACGAGCTCTACTTGAGGATCCTGGCTGGGTTTCCGGAAACCGTGCCCTCCTTTCTAATTATGCTAAATCATCAGAAATCACACCCACTGGGCATTGGTAAAACAAAGTCGCACAGTCAAATCACACACACGAGTCTTGTGACCCAGACAGACACAGATAAAAGCAACCGCCCCAAGACAGCAAAGCCCAACACAATCAATTCAGGTCCTGCCTGCAAGGCTTGGCAGTGCAGCACGGCAAGCCGAAAGGCACGTAGATCAATGGGCCGGTCCGCCCTCACGTCCAACATGTGACGATCATCTTTGTCCTGGGTAAGACTGTATGCACCACATGAATGAGAACATCACGGCAACTCTGCTAACCGAGTACAAGTAAGTAACTAGGAGCCGATTGCTGCTTTTGTTGTCGGGAGACCAAAGCCACCAGGAGCGAGGCCAAACTGCGAACAACCTGATCCACTCCTTCCACCAATGCAATTGGCCGGTGATGCATCTCCAGCTCCACACACTTTGCAACCTCACACAGCCGACAAAGAGACACAGCCATTACCGATGCTCTCTGATTAACAGCCATTGCAAACGTCTTCGAATAATTTGGGAGCTCCTCACCAAACTCGCCACGGATTGCACCAGCACGAGCCGTCGTTGCACGATTCAAGTACCTTGGTTAGTGGACTGCATGTTCTTCTCAGTGACTCTGAAGGCAACACTCAAAAGGCCAGCAAGACATTCCGCACGGCTTCAGATAGGTGGCACACTCCTCATATCCGGCTGCTTGCCGATGGCATTCATCACCCGCAACAAGTAGCGGTGGGTGCCACACAACACTGTCGGCTGCCTCAAATGGAAACATTGTCTCCCCACAAGGGTCCAGGTCTGCAGATAAATATTTCCTGAAGAAACAAACCTCCCATGTGAAAGCCAAGCAACACCACATTGTGCCCGAAGGCACCCATTGCCAAGAACGTCTTTTCGCAACCAGTGGCATCCACCGTGGCCTCAGAAGCAAAACTGAACCCAATTTGAAGAATCTGCTGCGGCGCTTGACAAGTCTACTGCTTCGAGACAAGACACCAGCATCGACGGAGAATAAAAAATGCAGCTGCTTCGAGGCTGCTCCGTGACAGTATAAATGCCACAGTTGAAGCACAGCTGCATCAGATTGGCCTCCCATTCCTCAGGTCGTATCTGCAAAGTGAGTCAAAACCATGTGCATGCCAACTTATTCAGTCAAGCTTCGCAGGAGACATCACTTTGGCGAGGCTCCAGAAACCTTCGCCTCGGAGAAGAGACACAGACTTCTACATCCAAGCACCAAGACTTATGAGGTGACATGTGAAATGCAAAGCCGAGACTCCCAGCTTCAGCTGGCACCCGCTTTGGCGATCCCCAGCGAAGCCC